ACAGTGGAAAGTAGTGTGCCAAACAAAACAGTTTCAAATATTCATATATACATCAGAGTGTATTAGTTTCTTATATACACAACATCCATGACCTTTTGCTATCCTTTTTGCAGGCAATTTCAAACACAGGCTTTACATTTTCAGAAGGAACTCAGAAATGTGTTTTGTGTATTTTAATCTGTCATAGGAATGATAAGTCCTTTACCGTTAATTCCCTGTTTACGAAGTTGAAGGTAGGAAAGTAATATTGCATTCTTTGTGTTCACTCATTCATGTGTAATATTGAATTTACTCTGTTTTCATCTTTTTCTTCACAGCAAGCCATTGACAGTGAGGTAAAAGCAGAGGCAGTACCATCAGTCACAGTAAAGGTACTGTGCTTAACTCAAACAGTAGCATTCAAATAGTGATGGCAAATTTTAACCTGTCACTTTCTGTGTATTTCACTTAAATCATGAAAAGCAGTAAAATTTGAAATGCGTGTACTTAATTCTCCTTTGTATGACAAGGTGTCATTCTAGTAAGCCTTCTGCTGAAGTCAGAAAGCGAATGGAGTTTTGATAGGCTTATCAAAAAGCAGACACAAAAACATTATTAGGATGGAATGAAGTTGTTTTTTAAGCTATAAGAATTTTTCCAACACTTTTCAAAGGTAATATGTGTTTGGTTACTCGAAATGTGAAGTTTATCTTCAGGTGCCTTTTTAGTTGTCAATAAACAAAAATAGACTTTTGTAAAAAGACTTTCATAGCTTTTGCTAGTGGAAAAAAAAGTGCTAGGAAAATCTAATTTGAAAAGTGACATCATTGCAATCCTCTATGAGAGCTGCTGTTTGTAGCTGGTTCTAAAGAAAGTGTGTGTGTGTGCGCGCATACAAGGGGGTGCAAGTGTGGTTTCTCCTCTCCTCAGTATTGCCTAAAAAGGATCATGACCTTTATTTCTGAGTTTGAGAGGATCTTCTAGGAATATCAATGGAGCCTTATTTTTGAGAACCTTGCAAGTGCTCTCTCTGTCTTGAGTGAAATGTTCAGAGGGTAACTGGACTATTTATCAAACCGGATTCCCTTACACTAATGTGGTCTAGTTGTACTTGGTACAGCATCTTTCTCTTTTTTTTAAGTGCTAAAATGATACAGTATAAAATCCTAATCCTGATAAAGTCTGTGACAGTTTTGCTCAAAGAAGTTCAGATGAACAGCATTGGACTTTGAATCAGGCTATGTAAATATAAGGGTACCTTAAAATATGTAATATAAATTTAAATTACCTCTAGAAAGTTATGAATTTACCAGCTTTTAGTTTACATTGGAGCCAATATATTGTATAAGTGAGCTATTACAGAGATAAGTATTGTGTTTATATTTGCCAAATTCAATTTTTGGAGAGCAGTTATGACTTCAGTATTGGGAACACAGGTAACTCCCATCATTCTCCCTCATGTGTTCATTATTGCTATTGTAAGGCCAATGGCAGACACTGTTTCAAATGAGCATGGATGTGTTTTATGTATTGATAAGCTTTTTAATAGGAAGATTTTATAATTCCCTGTTCTGTTTTCTTGTTTATGCATTTTATACCTTTTAATGAAACAAAAATAGTAAATGTAGGAGTTATAAGGCATTCAATTTTTTTCAGAATATTTTTTCCTGTGATAATGTTACTAATGAATATTATTTGTCCATTGTAATGGTGGTCATTGTACCCAAAAAATCTGCAGGCAGTGCATTGTGCTCTAAAAAACCTTCTAGAATTTGTGACACTTATTTTTATATTAAAACCTTAATTTTTAAATTTAATTTTGCACCAATGACAGGCCTGTCAGAAAAGCATTTAATAAAATTAGATACTTTTGACAAGTTTCTGGATAAGAGGATTCTTCACTTCAGGCTCCTCTGTGCAGCAGAAAGCCAAACACAGTTGAGAAATGCACTGAAGTAGTGTTTGCCAGTAACTTTAAATGTTGCTGTCTTGATATTCTGAAGTGTGCAGTCTCATGTCTTCATGTCTTCAGCTCATTTAATTGGCATTAACATCTGTAAGGCTATTGATTCCATCTTCATTGAGATTCTGGCTTCAGAAAATGGGGCGAAGTTTACCCGATATATGTACAGAGGTAGATATGATCCTTCCTTGCTAGCATTAGTAGCGATAGATGATCTGAGGGCCTGTTTGCAGCCCAAACGTGTTGTTAAACCAAAGTAAATGTTGATGTTAATTCTGTTATAGTCAAACTTCCTAACCCTTGAGCAATTTCATAACTAATAATATTTTCCTAAACTGATTTAACCTGGCTGTAGTGGGCTCTTTGTTAGACCAGCAACAGAAAACAGATGATAACAAATATGGTCTGTGTATGTGCAGACCACATTCAGATGTCAGTCACCACTATACTTTTTGTTTGAGATCTGACTCTCTTGATATTGATTGGTTTTACAGAGAAATAACTGCCTACAATAAAAGCAACCAGGGCCACTCCAGGTTTAAGGTTAGGTCTGCTCTCATAAATCTAGAGTTGTAGTTGTGCTGGGTATCTTGTATATTGAATTTTAGGGTTTGTTTACAATAAAAAATCAAATAGGTCTGTGAAGTTATTCAGAAGACTATACATTGCTCTTTGCAGTTAAAGGAAGTAATTTCTTTGTTTAGCTTTGTTTTTATTCTTTTCATTTTTTTACTTTAGTCACCTAAAAGAGGCAACATTTTATTTTTATTTACATTGGAACAAATGCACATGACACCAGCAAAATATTAACGTTTTAATTACACTTTAGCATTAGTTTTTCCTGGGTTAAAATTACAAAGAACATGAGAAATCCCCTCAGTTTTTTTGTAGCCTTTCGAGTTACTGTTTTCCATTATTGACTGTAAGTAAGTAAGAATTGTAAAAGGAAAATAGTCATTTTGAAGTTGAAATTTGTAGGTCTTAACCTTGGTTGCTGAATTGCTCTTTGCAGATGTTTCATATGCTAGTTATGTTTGTTTTCTGCTATACAGAGATTAATTTGTTGCTTCCTTTAAATACTTCTGTATGTCACTTGGTTTAGATAACAATACAGAGCAGAGTGACTGCGCAGAAACCAATCCTGGCAGTATGTGTACAAGCTCCATTAGCAGTGACCTGTGACCAGTTCGTCTTTGATGATTTAGGTAAATTATCATAGTACCATTACAGCTATTGTATCATATTACTTTTTCTGAAGATGTTTGAAAGGTATAGTCCAGCTTCCATCGAGTGTGTTTTTGCAGATACACTGCAGTTAAAGCATTTACAAATTTATCTTGCCTGCAGTCCGCAGCTTCTAGGTACTGCTTGGTGGAGGAAGACAAGTAGAAAGGAATGAAGTTGCTTCCTTGATTATGATAGGATGCATGGCAGGTAAGAAGAGGCAGGGTGGAATCTTCATGATAGAGGAACAAAAAATACTACTTATTATTTTGATGGGACATTGTGTTTTGCTGGCAATTCTGTCTATGTAGAAATGGCACTGCTGAGCTAAAAGCAAGAATAGAAAGCTTGTTTTGCTGTAGACATGGGAACATATGTTCCCAGCTTAGCATCAACTGTTTGGCGATTCTAGCCTTTTTCCAACTCTGTTGATAAAAGGCTCCAGGTGGGATTGCCTTGAAGAGTAAGTGGAGCTGAAGACCAGAGAAGTGTGTCCTGCTCCCTCAGTTGGGACTGAAGACTATTTCTGCTCCAAAATGTGCAGTGATGGTCCCTATTGAAACAGAGCTTTACTATCTGCCACTCTCATCTGAAAGGAACGTTTTCTTAACATGACAGAAGCAAAGGGCTGATGGCTTTGTAAAATATTAAAATCACAATATAAAACTGCATTTGTTTTGATATTCTCTGTGTTCAGTGTGCTGAATTGTTTTATTGGTTATGCTTCAAGGTAGTTACAAGCTGAAGAGACTAGTTTGCCTTTTACAAATTAGAGACTTAAAAAAGCATGTCCAGTGATTTGATAGAGGTGAACTGATGGAAACAACTATCATAATTTCATAGAATATTTCCCAAACTGCTAGAAAATGTTGCTCTCATTTGGAAGCTCCTATAACTTGATTTAATTTTGTATTATTTTTAGAACCAGATTCATCTGAAACTGTGGTCCTGTCTGTCTTTTTGAAGAGGAATTGTTCTCCATCAGAACTAGAAGGAAATTGTTTGGTTTCGTATAATATACCAACAGGTAAGCCACTGGAGATTTGAAATTGATTTACCTTTTTGGAGATCTTTTTCTTGACAATTTTTTATAAATGTTCTTTTGAAATATATTGAAAGCAGTAATAATAAAAGAAATAATGTGTATCAGAGTCTAGTCTTCTGTTTTAGTTAATATTTTGTATAACATCATTAAGTTTTATAATTTGTCTCACAGAGGTAAAAATCATATGCTTGTGGCTTGGGAAGCAGCTGTACAAGCTTTCCCACCCTCTCCTATCAATTTGCTTCTGTTCTACTCTTTAAGGGACCACCTCTTGGAGTGGGAAATTAATTACATCTTTATGACTATTCAGCCTTCTGGGCTGCCAACAAATGTGACAATAACTGCCTCCCTACAGAGGAGGAGATTTTAATAAGCATTGAGAGTGATTATTCCTCACTTCCCTTTTAACAGTTGAACATATTAATTCTAAACAAATAAACTGACTCAAAGGAACAGAAACTAAGTCCTTCAGTTTTATGATCCCCTAATGACCCTAATGACAGAATTTACCCTCCTATCCATAGCTGAAGACTGACTAGCTTAGTTTTCTACACACAGCCTGTGAATGTGTTGGGCTACTGAAAAAATGAATTTAGGCAGGGCTTCCATGTTAAGTTAAATGCAGCAAAAAACAGTTTAAGCTGTCTGTTCACATCTCACTGCTTTGCTCCTGCACCTCCTTCCCTGTTATGCTCACACAATCAACACTTATTTCTCAGCCAGATTTACTGATTTGGTTCACTGTGCAAACACAAAGCTGTGCCAGCACAAATGTAAGGGTGATATGGAGCAGACTAGCATCAAAGAAATGTGTGTAGAGTTAGGGCTTCTGTGAAGGGTGGTGGTCTTGAGTACCTTATCCTATGTAGACCCTTTAATTTAAGCATTTACTTCCCATCGCTTCTCACTTGAAACATTGTGTTTATGGTGATAGTCTAGGCCGTGTGACGATTGAAATGTTTATTTCTAGACAAAACTGAAACTCATGTTTTTAAAGAACTTGATCTTACCCTCTTTAGACAAGGCTTGCAGATACATGCAGAGGGTGGGAGATGCTCCTCCCTTTTTCTTGAGACCCTGCACAAACACCTTGTACAACTTCAGCCCCTCTATTGTGAGTCTGCTTATTCCTTGTGAATGACATGCTGTACCTTTGTAAGTGTCCCCCTTAGTGAAGTGGCTTTAGACAGGTTTTTGTGGTATGACTGTATAGGTAGTGTACTTTGGAGTATCTTGGATCCTCTGATTTTGAAAACTTCTTTTTTCTTTTGCTGCTTTTGCTTCTGTGAGTTTTGATTTGCAAAACCAGGCTATCAAACTTAAAGAGTATTTCTCACTGGCAAATGAACATATGATTTCTTTCAGGTGATACTAGTTAAACTCATGCTGATATTTTAGATACTAGGTTGGATTTTGCAAGCCTTTTGGTTAGGGAAGTAAAGAAATCTTATATCTTTAAGTATGTTTGATGTTTATATGCAATTAAAAAAAATCTCTAGAAGACATGACATTTAACAGAATTAGGGAACTGTAGGAGAAATTTTAAAAATTCACCTTTAATGGTAGAATTTGGAAGACTTCTAAATAAAGGAGAGTAGTTAAGATCTTGCTAAATTACGAATTATTAAGCTGGAAAAAGTATATTTAATTACGTAGAAATACTAGTGTTCCTTATACAAGGCAATCCTTAAGTGTAGTATACTAGTAAACAAAAATTAAGTACCTTTGTGACTTCATTTTATCTGAGTAGAGACATTTTCCTTGTTTTTTAAGACACCCATATTTGTGGCCAAATCAGTCTTCAGTGTATCTCTATGGGATTCATACAGCTGAAGGTTAATGAATCACTCGGTTGGATGGGATTGCACTGTTGACGAATGTGGTCTCACGTCTGTTTTTGGCTAGTATGATGTCTTTATGTGTTGTCTACTTAACAAATGTAGCTTAAGTTCCTTAAAACCTGTTAATAAATTTCCTTTTTTTCTTATTTGAGTAGCATCTTATGTATTCTTTTTTTTCCTTTTTTTTCCCCCCTTTTGTCCCATTGCTGGTTACACGGTAGACCTCAATCCTGAAGGTGAGTGAATCGAAAAAACTTCAAAGTTTAGATGGTTTAATGAGTGACAGTGTATGCTGAATAAAGCAGATTTGGAAGGGAACTATTATTTTACCTGTTATTTCTAGAAGTTCATATTATCCGTGATTTGATCCTACGAAGGTGTGAATATTTGAGAAAATTGAAAGAAATGAGGCTTAGACAGAACAAGACAATTATCCACAGGGCAGTTCATTTCTTGGTGAGCTGTATTGCACTTTCTCGTATGTAACACAGAAATTTTGCGAAGTATTATGTGCCTTGTGCTTTGAGGTGGGAAATGGAAAACACAATTGTATGTTCTTTCTATACCATGTTTTCAGCTATTTTTTTCAAGTTTCAGCAAGAACTTAGGCAGCTAAATTATAGGTTTTTTTTGGTGCAACTGAAACAGCTATTAAGGAGTTGTAGCTAATGCTCTGCTGTTTGGACTGAGTATCTCTGAGAATGATGTCACTTAACATTGCTTCATTCCAGTTCTTGTTGGAAACATCTTATTCAAGGCTAAAAGCCTGCTTTCTAACTGAGAATACCAGCAGTACGAAACTTAGGTGTGATCGTGGCAGACATACTTTTAAAAGGTACAATTAAAAGACAAAACAGGACTGGAAAGGTAGCTTATGTATAGGTAGACTAAAAAGAGAGAAGGGTAGTTTTGCAATGTAGTTGTGTACGTATGTTAAAAGATACATTCCCTGTAGGAGATATTTTACTAACTTTAAAATATATATTAAGTACAAATTCTTTCATGTTTTGAGAAGGGGAAAAAGTTGCTTGTCACGGATTTAGACATCAACTGAAAGGGTATTTTCAGTTTTGCAGTTTTTCTAAACAGACGTTTTACATATAGTTGTATATTTGAGTCTTGTTTTTCAACACTTATGCTCTTATGAGTGGATTAAGTGAAGTGAAAAAGTAGGTAACTGTTAATGGATCCCTTCCTTATCTGGTTTCCGGATGTTTCAGGGGACCTTGAGGTGCTGTAGAGGAAACAGGTGCTTGAACCATCTCAATAAAATACTGTGATACTCTTGGCAAGAATAGCAATCACCATGTGGCAGATTTCTGCTACACAATGTAATTTTTAAATGTATTAAAAAATAGAGTAAACATATAAATAAATTATACAAAGATAGATGTGTATAATTGAAATTCTGAAAATGAAGATATGGATTTTTTTTTTTTCAAAGAAATTTCTACTTAAGATAAAAGCCTGATGCTGAAGAGAATATTGTGGAGCACAGTAAACTTTGCAGAATTATCTGGAACAAAATTTATGTTAGTGAGGTGCACTGGACTAGTTAAAATCAGGGTCATCAATACCAGAAAAAGCATAAATTCTCTGAATAGTTAACATCCTAAATTAGAGATCTGAGCTTTAATGTTTTTATCAGGTAAATCAATGTTGTAAATATAATTAAGGTGCATGCATGAGTAATTTGGAAATGAAATTGTACCTACAGTGCATGTAACTGTTTTATTACTTTTATCAGGTAAGTGCATAATATGCCTTTAAATAGTGGTAACTTATGAGATAATGTTACAAAATTTCTGTTGTATTTCAGGTTAGAAGAGACTATGAATTTTATTCCATGTTTTTTCTTTATTACAGTGCTAAAATTGTGTATTGTGCAATGTACCATAACTCTAGATGAAGTGAGATGTATTACTAGATATAACATCAAAGGATTGAGGAGGTTCTGGCTCCTACACTTTGCTGCTACTTTGTATTTCTTTACTGTCATTTAAAATTCTGAAATGTTCTGAAAGCATTTCCCAGCAAGAGTTTTTCACTGTAGTGATATATTTTGTTGGAGCGTTTTGGGCTGGTTTTCTTATATGTAATTGTTTTGGACTCATCAACTAGAAATCTCCCCAGCCCGCTGCCACTCGCCCCATCCCCCGCCCCGAGCCAGATACTATTTGATTTGGTTCTGATTTAACCCTTCTCTGAAATATTGAAAAATTATATTTATGTTGAGGCAGACTGAGAGCAGACTATCTAGGAAAAGCTGGTTTGAAACAAGAAGAAAATAATCTTGTTCTAAATATAAAAATATTTCAAAATCTTTATGGCTAGTTTTGTCACTATTTTTTTCCTGTTGATAAGTCTCCATATCTGTGTTCAATAATAAAATGTTTGTGTTATGTTGTCATTACAAAAAGATTTTGATTTTCCCATCAGATGATGAAGGTACAGTTGAGTGAATCATTCTGAAAGGTCATGGGTTTATTGTCAAGTATTTTTTCAAGAATTTTCCTTGGAAACCGGGGATATCCCAGTTCTGAGGACCTGTCTTTAAGTTTTCTGCTCATTTTATACTGATTTTGCTTTTTGGAAGCCTCTGCAAAATACTTATTTGGAGGCATTATCAGCTAGCCAAAAGAGCTAATGAATTGACAACCAGAGGGATGAATCTGAGCCTTCTAGCAATATTTTTCCCCTGAGATGAGTCTTAGAAATAATTTTTTGTTGCAAGAGATCTGCAAAGCAGCAAACTAAATTGTTAGCAGAAAGGGTTGCTTGAATGACTTTAAATGATAGAGCTCTATTTTTATACTAACCTGCTAAGTTTACATGACTGATAACCTCTGTGTAGCTATCAGTTTCATGACTTTGTCTCATGTAATCCATGCCAGTAACTTACTTTATTCTTTCTAAAAATGTACTTTGTTAAAGTTTGCTGAGGTGAGTGTTGGGGTTAATGTTTAGTTTTGTGGGTTATTTGGGAGAGAATGAGTGATTGTTTCTATGACACTATTCTCAGTGAATATTGGTGCCTGTAGTGATGTCTGTACCCAACCAAGTTTTCCTATTAGCTGCTTCATCAAAAACATTCTCTGCAAAAAACCATAACTGGCTGCCCACAAGAGCAAGAACTCCAAATTTCGTATCAAGTAGAACTTTTGCCTTTCACATAGACGCCATCAGGCAATTTCTGACATACCAACAATTTTAAACAATGTTTATATTTGAGCAATTTTTTGACATATTCTAATGAACGTGTTTTCTAAATGTTGGTGTTAAAACTTCCTCTTTTCTTTTGCAACTTTCTGGTAAGATTGCATATGATACTAGATGCCAATACCAAAGGCAGTAGCCAGTTAGTTCTACAGTTCTGTTTTATTATGATGCAATGAGTTGAAAGACAGAGATTATTACCCAAAGTTATTTTAAATTCTATTAAATTTTTTTTTTTCTAAGCCACAAACCTCCGACAGGTGTTTTGAAGATATGAAGGTTGCATAGAAGTTATTTAAGATTATTAGGAAAAGAAAAGTAAATGTGCTTTTAAAAAGGTTTTAATTTGTGATATTCCTGATGAAAACGTGCATGCTTCAATTTTGTTTTTGAAGCATCAGGAGTAATCACACAGCTTTCATCTATGTTAAAGTAGAATTGTTTATCTGAAGTATCAAATGTTAAGTAAAATGTTAATCTTCATTACATGTTAATTGGTATGCATACAGGTATGCAGTGGATTTGGCTAATACCTCTTGCTTACTCATTCAGTTGAAAATGTTCACTTGAAAAGGTAATTAAAAGTATTCAAATTTAAAGTATGTTTGTTGGAACATTTAATGAAAATTGAGAATTTTACATAGTTTTTGTTTTAACATATTCCTTAATGACATTAAAAATATCTTGTTATATCTGTTTGAGGACAGCAGTATGAAGCATTTTGTATTCAGAATGTGGATGTGAAAGATGAATCTGTGTTCTTTCATTTTAGGAATACTGAAAGTTGCACAGTGTAACTTCAGGCTGCCTTTGCGGTTAATTTGCTTTCCAGCTCAACCTTCAAAAGCAGCAAACCACAAGCTAACTATTGATACCAATAAGCCTCCAGTCAGCTTCGTCACCATTTTTCCAGGTATGTTTTTAAATATGTCTATAATAGGAAATGTGTTAGGAACTCCAACAGGAATTGTTTGTCTGTGTTGAACTAATGAGGTAATTGACAAAGCTAATGGTAGAATGTTTAAAAAGTATATTTTGAAAGAAATGATGGCATAGTATTTCAATAATAATCCACATGGGCTAGTGTATCTGTCTCTGGTAAAACTGCAGATTTCTTTACATAGTGGGCCTGATATGAATCTAATTTTCATGTATCCAGAAAATCATTTTACATAAAACTGAATCAGTGGTGTTGTAATGTAGAAAACATGGGCATTCAGTTAAAAAAAAAGTTAAGCAGGGCAAAGCAAAAGAGGTAAATATTGTATGTAAGGGGTTTAGTTGCTTTGGAGGAAGATTTGTGGAGTTCTTGATGAATTAGTCTGGAGCTGATCTTATTTAATAATTTCATTAGCCTTCTCGGACCAAAAAGAAGACATGTACTCTAGTAACATTTTCTGATGCGGAAACCTGAGCTACATTTTATATTCAGGAGAATATTAAAATAATATGAAGGAGGAATTAAGTGCCATTTAGGACTGGAAAAAGAAAAATGAAATTGAGTACTATAAAGTGTAATGTTGTAAAAATTATTTCTGCTGTAATTATGTGCTCATAATTTGGAAGAGAGAGAGGAGGTGGAAGTTACCACAGGAACACTCTGTGGTACAATATTGTACCATCATAAGCACACAAATAAGAACTGAGGATGCATTAGGCAATGCATGCAAGAAACTAATATCATGTTACTATGCACTGGCACACTGAGTGCTGGTTTCTGATGTTAAATAAAAATTAATTCACACTCAGAAGTGTATGGCTATGAACTTTATCTAGGGATTTGAAGAGGAGAATTAAAAGAAAGTGACTTATTTAGCTTAATGAAACACAGGCAAAAAAGGGAATACAGTTGCCTTCAGTAAATATTTTGTGGCTGTATCATGGATTTAGATGATCCATATTAGCACAAGAAGAAATGACTAAACAGGGCTTATAAAGTGATTGTGAGGAAGTTCAGTCTGGCAGTGATTACATTTCTGAACTTCAGAGGACTAAGGCTCTGGAACAGTTTTCTGAGAGTTGTATGGGCCAACAACTTTAACATGATATTTTAAGATGGAGCTGCATCTCTTTGCAAAGCTTATATAGTGCATTTGTCTGAGGGCAGTGGAGTAGGCATGGTTGGGTTTTTTGGTAGCATGATTTTCTTCACTTTGAGGGTAAATATGCCTTTTCTCTCAAATGGGTGTGCTGTGTAATACTTACTTGAAACAGAGAAACTCTTCTTCAAAGGTCTACATTTTGAGGTTTTAATTATAGGCTTCCATTATGGCTAATAATGCTTTCAAAATAGAGCATTATATTTTATTTTTAACCTAGGGATGCATTGTTGAAAATATAACACAAAGCATGGGCCTAATGTGTTCCAGAAGAAGGTATTAAAATCTTCAGATTTCTGTTCATCCCATTTTCAGTGATGGGGGTAGGAGGGGAGGAAAAAGCATGCTATTTATGGTGTGATCTGTGAAGGAATTTTGGATTCTTGATGTACTTGATAAAAATTGTATCTCTTCTACTCTCTATTTTGCCTTATTTTTAGGGAAGGTTGGGAGGAGAGGTGATATGGAGTAGTTTTTAAAATGTAGTACTGTAAAACTTTTAATCTGGTATGATCCACTGCATGGAATGAAAAGAAAGGTGGGCCTGCATGGACTTTGCAGAGAGGCAAGTTTTAGCAAGCCAGATGTTAGCTGTGCTCTGTGCTGCAAGCTGAAAAGAGAGTGTGCTTAAAAGTTTTAGGATAATTTCCACATTTTTGCATAAATATCTCTAATTATTATTAAGGTCTTAATTAAAGGTGACCTTGCATCTGGTAAAAGGTGATAGTCTTTGGGCTGTACACTAATCACAGTTCTCTTTAGATGGTACAGACTGAACCTCTGAGAAATCTGCCTTTTGTTTCCAGGCGGGGAAAAACAACAGTGTGTGGCTCAGCTTGCGCCTGTGAATGAAGGGAGGGTATACCAAAGTACTGCTGATGTTCTTTACTTCTGAGTGCTAAGGAGAGAAGCAGTCTCATTCAGATTGCCTTTCCTAAATTGCTTGTGCGAAGGGTGATGTGGTCCTGCCTGTGGCTTGGGTTTTGTTGAATACCAGTGTCGATTATAGAAAACTGGATTTAACTTTCTCTTTCAGACTTTGTTGATCCATCTGAGGATGACCAGGCAAATGTTCTGGGATTTCAGTTTTTAACTGGTTCAAAAACCACTCTTCTTGCTTCAAAAACATCACGTAAGTGCTATTAGTATTAATGTAGAAGAGGCCTGATCATCAGTTAGTATATGTAGAAAATGAGAATGTGCATCATGCAAAGAAGGATAATCACTCTGTGAGAACTACAGAGGAGTTTCAAAGTGTTAACCAACTGTTTCTTACCCCTCCGAAATGTCTAATTACGTTGTAGGGAAGGCACGAAATTTTATAACAAAACAAAAAATCGTACTCGAAATATGGCACTCTGTAGTGACAATTCTCTGAAGAAATTTGGTTTCCTTCAAGTTTTTATCAATGCTTTTATTAATGAATTAATACTGTCATTGTAATAATGGAAAAAACCCCTCTTTTCCTCAAAGCTATTTCAACACCTTTTTGGAAGTGGTCATCTACTAGAATTTTTGAAAGGGATTAAAAAGCACTGACTTTCAGTAATTCTTGACTTCAGTTAGGCATCAGACTGTACTTACTTGCTTCTCTGCGTCTAAGTAAATGCCTGTCTCAACCTCTAGATGCCTATGTATCTTTAAGTATAGGATGATGGATTCAATATCCATCCTATTATGTTTACAGAATGTATGAATGTGCTTGTAGATATGCTGTTGCCTGGTCCAGTGTCTCTTCTGTAGGGCAGTTTGAATTAAATAGGCGTGTTCCAACCATGTGAGCTTGTGCTCTTTAAAAAAGATGTTCTTCATTTTGGAGTTTATGGTCTTGCCCTATACAACTACTCAACTCACTAAACTCATTCTTGGCTATGTGCGTTGGAACCAAATCAGTTCAATTGTGTTTAGTGTTTTCCATGCCAGCAGAGTACAAATTCTTCATTTAATAGAGCAGACTAACAAACTGAAAAGCTAGAATGCCTATTGGGCATTGCAGAGAGTTCCTGTGGAACACTGTGTGAATGCTTTGACAACTGTTTTGAATGAGAAATCAGAATCTAGTTTGTTTATGTGAAATTCTTTTGACACAAAAATAATCTGCCTTGCTGTTTTCGAAAATCAGTATTCATGATGGGTTATATAAATATTGGTGGCGTCAGCTGTGGGCTATGAGATAGTATTTAATACCTTTTCTAATGTAATCAAGTGTTTTAAAAACAGAAACCATCTGGAGAGTAACTTTCATTGTACCAAGAATAACTTTACATTTCTGAGGTTCAAATCCATTTGTATTGGTTTGTGTATGCATTGTTTGCATGCTGTTTTATTGTTAGTTCGTTTTTAATATTTGTTTAAATATAGTAGATGTTAAACAATTTTAACAACCTAGACATGCAATGATAGTTTCTAAAAACTAAAGAATTTAAAGGATTTATAAAGAACAATTTTTTTCTTGATTACAATTTAAATCTTTCATTTGGAGTTTGTTTTCCATAGTTACTAAATCTGATGCTATATAAGGGACAAACTTGTGTCTATCTAATGAATGTGTTTTAGCTTCTAGTGAGGCTATAACTTTTAATTCCCCAAACCCTCAAGCTTTTACTCTCAGGTTTGTTTATTCGCTAGTTAGGAATGACGCTTGCAGTCTTACTATAAACTTTCCCACACTGCTTTACTTGTGAAGTTCACTTTACAAAGGAGATTCAAAATATCTGTTTCTCTTAGTGTGACTACTCATTTCTTGTGTCTGGGAATCCTTACTTTAGGAAACAAATGAGTAGTTTGATGCCACCTTCTCTGTTAGCAGCCTGTTTCCAGCAATCCACTTTGTGCATTGGATTGAGTTCATTACAGAATTTCTTAGGGCTGTTTGCTTATTTGTAATGTTACCTAAGTAAAACTTAATTTAAAAAAAAATTGTAAAAGGTCTGATACTCAAAAATAATTCAGAATATTTTTATGAATAGAGAATATCCATAATACAAAAGCTTTGTTTGGTAAATTTCATGATACTGAAATGATTGTGCTTGAGTGGACAGATCTTCTATGGAACTATTGAATTGCAGATGAAATTATGTATTATTTGAGAGGTCCTTATTCTACTATGTAGTTTAACACTGAGTTTATACATTGTAAAAGTGCTTATGGAATATTATCACTGTGGAATTGTTCTTTGAAAAGAAAATTGTATGTGTAGACAAATAGTGACTAGAAGTAATGGTGTTTCAGAAAAGTAGAGAAGTTCATTGGGACTGAACAATCCTTATTTCTGGTTCTCCATTAAAGAAGTTAATCTTGGACAATGGAAGAAGACCTCTTTTTCCTTATCTGTTATCAAATGGACCTTAAGTTCTGAACTGCATGGAGGAATGAAAGTCTTCAGGTTCAGTTGGGTTTCACTGCTGAAGCTGCAAACATGAATGACATCTGCTTTGACATTTGCTTTTTAGTTGTATCAGCTAATCAATTTTGAACAGTGTAGTGATTGAAGATAGTACTTCAGCCTGTCAAGAGGACTGCTGCAAAGAAGCCCAGCCTAAAGTTCATTTTGGCAGTTAATACACATTGAAGAGAAGCTTGTCCCATGTAGATTAAGGTTTTATTATTTTTTTTTCTGAATTTTTTTAAAACTGTCTATTAATCAAAGTGTAAAGACAGCTTGACTGCTAATTGTGACTGGGTTTTCTTCTGCTGATGTGAGCTTGCTAGCTGAGAAGTGAACTGAATCATCTAGACTTCCTTCAGATAATCAACTGGCAGGGCAACCATTCTTAATGCAGGTTGTGCTAGTTGGGTAACCTGTGTCATGTTAAAAGCCTTTGTAACCGATGTAAGCTATCTGTGTTCCTTGGTCTCCTGCTTTTCTGTTTAAGAATTTTCTGAAAATCTACTGTAATTTTCTGTAACAGAGCTCATTTTAACAAAAAGCTGACACAAGTTGGTTAACTATTATAAAAGCACAGGGTAAGCAGAAGCAGAGTTATTTCTTTAGTTTTTTTCATTCTATTTCTGTTTAAAGCATGTATTTAGTACAACTAAAGATTCTCAGTTTTGTGCAATTTCTAAATGTAATTTGTCTTTTTTGAGAGCTGGCAGGTCATGTAAAACAAATGACTGCAATGCTCTCTACTCAGGACATGGTAGAACTAGATTGTGTTTGTATTGACTAACAAATAATGTATGGAAACTAAATATGCATTTTGGAGGAAATTAGTTTTATCCATTTTAGACCATTAATGTATTAGGTATGTCAATTATAAATGGAATGACTGTTGATTTGGCCTGAAAACATCTGAGCTAATTTCCCTCAAGGAAAAATCACTTACGGCAGAGTATGATGATACATCCAACTAAGTCCAGCCATTGCATTGTGAGTGTTTAAAAAATGGATATTAGGTTGAATGTTATCTTTAGCAGATGGTGTTCTTTTCTTTAACAGGCATGTTTTTAAATAAAACTTGCTTCTTTCCTGTTACACTCTAAACAGAATTTGTCATTCTCTATTCAGTGAAATACGTATCCTGGGAATGATGCCAGTGGTAATGTCAAACAATCTTGAATTACTAATGCTGAGAAAATTTTAAATAAGTACATTCAAGTTCTAAAGAATTCTGATTAATTTACTGTGAACCTTGCTAAAAAGGGCAAAAAAGGAACTATTTTGTATCAAACCCCAGCAACTGTTTTTCCTCGTAGCTTCTGTCTATCCTTTTGGATAAGGTGTTGGTAGATGAGTAATGAAAAGAAATAAGGAACTATTGTTTGAAAGTGTTTATCTGGAAAAAAATAAAATAAAATGCTGCTTTGATTTTCCACAATGTTTTCCTCTCAACATTCGGTTAATTCTGATTTTTCTGGAAACTGAAGAGAGGATTATACAAATATGGACTGAAAACAACAGAAATAAAATCTCATTCCACTAGCTTGCTAATTGGAAATTCACTAAAATGTGGTAGTTAAATGAATTTTTGTGACAGATAACACTGGCTAACAGGGTTCCTTTTTTCACTTCAGTTTATATAAACACTTTCATTTCTACAGTAAGCCATTTTTACAAAGCCATAGTGTGTAGATGGATAAAAATCACCTTCTACTAATATTAGCTGTATCTAGAGTGAACCATAGCACTATCAAAACTGAATATTGTTGTCTACGACTAGTTAGAGAAATACTTTTCCTACTAGGAGATATCCTAGGCAGTGGAGATGTAATAAAAATTATATTGAGTATATTATCTAAGAACTCAATAACCATTTCCAAGAGACATTCAACATTTTAGGTGAATTGGAGTTGTTTTGTTACCACTGTTATCAGGTGCTTGGGATGCTGTGCCTCTGTCATGGTCCAAAGTGAACTGAGCCTGATTCTGCCTCCAAGCCTCAGAAAAGGTCACTAAGGTTGTCTTATTGCAGACAGCCTGCTATGACTTAATATCATCCAGTAATTCTCTTCTTTCCTTATAATGGTAGTTCTTCATAGCTTTTTGTTCTTCATGAACAGGCCCATACTCTAAAGTAGGCCTAAAGCAATAGATACTTTAATTTTGTGCTACAAAATTGCCTGTTAAAGTTAGGATAAAAGAGAGAGTATTTAGGACTGACATCAATAAAATACAAGTATTAGTTTAGTACAAGTGAACACGTATCTCATGAAAAACTCATATAGACTTTGGATACAGTTAGCCAGTTAAATTTGTGTGTTATCTAAACTGTCATATAGTGAATGCATGTGGCTTGGATGTGTGTTTATCAGTCTTGTATTCGTTCTTGTTTTCAAAGAACGATATAGGATCCAGAGCGATCAGTTAGAAGACCTTTGGCTGATAACAAAAGAGCTCACGCTTCGACTCGAAGAGCATTTCAAGAAGCAAAACTGCAAAGATTTTGCATGTACCTTTTCTGGTTCAATTCCCCTGCAAGAATATTTTGAACTAATTGATCAACATTTTGAGGTATGTTACATAATAGGTGTATCGTTAATGTTCTGCTGGTTTAAAAATTTTATGTTAGTACTATGATTAATCAGATTATAGCTATCATAGGCATTTGGCTTTCAGAAAATAGAAGGTTACATCTAAGACACTGCTGGAATAAGTGTCGTTGTCATGAGTTACTTTTTAACATATGGAGAATGCTTTCCCTCTGAAATAGCCCTCGTGATTAGCAGAGCACAATTAGCTAGTATGCAGTCTGCCAATGATAAAAATTAAGGTACTGTATTTGCCTTTCTGCGCGCTGCCTGTACAGAAGCCATGGGTTCTTCATTTACTAATGTCATGTTAATTGTAAAATTGTTTCTAAAATTTGTCCTTAGTTTTAGGCTATTTTACTCTTATGTAATAATGAAGCCAGCTTTTTTTTTTTTTCCTGAATCATAATTATATAAAAAGTCTCTTCAGATTTTAAAAAACTGACTGACCTTGTAGAAGCAGCATTGGAGGCTCAAGGAAGTTTATCAGACCAGATATAAAATAAATGTAATTACTTTCTCCTGTTTGGTCATGCGAATGACAATAAAAAAAATCTCCAATAGTTCAGCTAGCTTGTAGAAATAGCTAATAACATAAAATATATACACTCCTTCCTCCACTACCTTTCTAGTAAAAAAAAACAAAACCAAAAACAAACCAAAAAACCAACAGAATAGCTATTTGAAAAATTCTGTTAAAGTTGTGTAATGGGCAAAAGCAGCAACTTGTGTATGTAAAAGTGAGAAATACTATTAGATGTTCTTTCATGCTGCTAAATTTTCTGTGAGGGGGAGCCACCACCACACAGAAAAATGGAAGTTGTAGCTGGTATTCTCTGGGATTTTTTAAGGAGTCAGCCTAGATCCAGGTCTATCTCTCAAGCTCTTGAGTAGTTATTCTTTCAATTAACTTGAAAATCAAAAAGTTTGGGTTTTTTTTATTGACTGGTGTTGTAGAAATACCTTAATAGGTTTCATTAGATTGTATCACAAGCTTAAATACACTGAAGTTTGAAATATGGGTGTGATTGCTGGAATGCTAATTTAGAATCTAATTATGTGGCAGCTGGCTATTTTGAAGTTTCTGAAATTTTATAATAATCTGGTCTAAAAAGTATCCAGTGATCTATCAGGGGGATCCTAATGCTCCCATCCCTGTTTGTTTCAACACACTCTTTTTGGCCAGCTTGGGAGAATATTACCTGAGATGTCTCTTTTTTCCTCCTATTTCTAGAAAAGCTGCATAGTGTTTCTTTTTTCTCTCAGCTTCCCTGAATTGTCCTTCATAATCATGTACTGACAGAATGGCACATTTGCTTATTTTAAATGTAATCTGTTTTCTAAATTTAGGAGCCTAATTTTTCTGCTCATTTTGGGGCACTTTAAAATGGGTATGTGTCATAATGCTCACATCTGGAAAGCCGTGTGTCTTAATGTTTCTTCTGATAACTTCTGCTAGTTACAGCATGTCAGCTATGCAGAGGAGTCCCAGCTTTTTGAAAGACTCACCTTTATTTAGTGATTTTTATGTTGAAAACACGTACTGGGGAAAAGTAGGATGATGAAAAGATAAAATAAGAATTCTTATTATCTGAGCGTTTGATATACAATGTTGTTCAAAATTTTGTGAACCTTCAAGAAAGTTTGTTGCTATAGCTGATCAGTATATATAAAAGAAAAAGGATTTCCCTTCAGAAAAAGACAATCATTCAAACAGTGCAGAATTTGGCACTTCTACTCGTGCATTTACTTTCTACTGCAATGAATACCAAATCCAATGCACTATGTGTATGTGTCATAAGCAGCACATCAAACCAAGATGAAATCTTGAGATCTTGGTGGTGAAATTTCACTCTTGTTATTAGGCTTTTTGATGTGAGATATGTATGCATTTTCACAGATTATTGTGGCTGTGGACAATTAGTTTTGATTTCAAGAATTATCATTTGCCACTGAAAATGTTAATAAGCTTCACAAGGAGTGTGAAATAAGAAACTGGTATAAATGATATTGTCACATTTGAATAATACACACTCTCCCCAAAATTTTACTATCATTCTCCCGTTTCATCTGGAATGTGCATACATAACATATATGACCCTTAACCTGAATTCTTGAAAACCTTTAAATTGCAGCTACGTCTGAATGCTGAAAAGTTTCAGGAGCTGTTATCTGAAAGGGCTGTACAGTTTCGAGCTATTGAGCGGCGATTGCTGACACGATTCAAAGACAAGACTCCTGCTCCTCTTCAGCATCTGGACACCTTGCTAGAAGGAACATTCAGAGAGGTCAGTACAGTTTGATTATGAGCCTAACCTTTCTTTATGTTGTTGGTAAAACTTAGCTTAAAGCATATAAGCTATGCTTTCCTGGTTACATTTACCATCCAAGAGACCAGGAAGCAGTAATTTGTTTAACCTAATATTCCCTGCAACTTTCCAGATGATTTGCAATAGTTTTATTTAATCTGTGACCACAGTCTTTACTCCTGGGTCACACCAGCTTGACAGCACATCATTCTTTCCAAACTGATGTTGATAGTGTAAATATTTTATAGTTCATGTGAAAATATTTTATAGTTCATAGCTTGTGTAAATATTTTATGGTACACTGTAAACTGGTGGAATGGTTTGGCTGGTGTAACATTCACAACAAAATTGTCTGAGGCTGACCACGTCCTTCCTTGTGGGGATTTTATGTTCTAATCACTTCAGAATGTGATAGTTGCAGAAGAACAATGTCTAAAAAAAAAATAAATTTCATTCCTAAACCATCCCTATACTGGAAGTACACATGGAATTTTTCTTGTTTCCTGCCTCAGCCTTGCATTGCTTTAGAATAACCCTTGTTTCGTGATGCATCCCCTTTGCTAAGAAGTTACTTTGTGTTTTGTGCTTTTCAGTTGGAGGATCTGATTTTACTTTTTAACATGCCTCGTTACGGAAGCTGAGTCACAATTAAATTCCTTGCTGGAAAAAAACACTTACCTTTATGCACTGTTGTATATCACAACAACTAAAAAGGTGTAAGGAAAAACATTTTTCCTTATTGTTTGTTCTAAGAAAAAATTTCTCTAAATTGGAGAGAACTGCCTTTCTGTGTATGATTATACATGAGTCAGATTTGCCTTTATTTCATTGAATTACTGTGAACGAGTTAACTATGAGATGGTTTAAGTTTGAAAGTGGGGGTTTTCTGGTTACTTTAAGAAATACTAGGTATTGTGATAGATGGGGGAATCTTTAACAATTTGAAATGGCATGACTAGAGCCCTAAAGATAAACAAAAGTGAGTCTCTTGAGTCTGCTTTTACTGTGTAGAACTGTTGCCTTTAAACTTAAAAGCAACTGGGATGTGCTGGGCAGTTTTCTTGCGCAGTTAAACTGAAAGATGAGTTCTGAGAAATGACAAAAATCAGATGGTTGAAATAGATGCATATTGCCAAAGTTTATTTTAGTCCTTCAATCCAAAATTAGGTGGGTATATTTCTTAACAATCACTGTTTTAAGCTTTTTTTAATTAGAATTGGTGTAGTTGAAAAGAGAATGAGGAAAAAGATTTCTTTCCAGAAAACAAATGCTTACCTTTTTCCATGTTTGTTAAAACTTTGTTTTAAGCAAGCTCACGTTTTTCTTGGTAGATTTCCTTTGTCATTTTCTTTTATTGGTGTGAATTCCATTGCAACAAAGAAATGTTGTTGTTAGTACAAACGTAATTGTGGTAAAATAGTAATTACCTTAAAGACCCCACTGCTGCACGTGAAACAGAGCTGTGGTAGGATTTAAGGTTGTCTCTTTGCTATGTGGGTGAAATTGCTTGATGATGCATTTCCTATATTAGAAAAGACCTTGCTTTCTTTAATTCCGTATCTTCTGTCTTTATTTGAACAAGTGTGTCTAATGCAAATAGCTGAAGTATTCAAAATATGGTACATGTGTTTTCAGTAAAGAAATAATGAGGCCAGATAAATATGAACAGTATGAAGTCTCAACCCAGAAATTCTTTTAAGTATGTAGCCTTCTTGACATTGGAATTAATATGATTGTATTTATGAGAATACGGCTTTTCGGAAGAATTGTTCAAACAAGTTGTCTTTATTTTTCCTTTTGGAAAGTTTTCTGTGAGTACCATGCTTATGTTTTGTTAATGCAGAATGCATTCAATGAAGAATGATGATCCATACCCCAAAGACTCTTAGTGGAATGACTCTTATTTGCATCAGTGGAATTTGGATTGAACTCTGGATAAGTGATGTAGAAGTTTTAGGGGTTTTTGTAATAAAATAGATGTGATAAATACCACAATAAAATACTCTGTTAGAAAATAAATTGATTTTTGTTCTCTTACTATTGTCTGAGAATCCCGTCTTCTCCCTTATGTTAAGTATTATTATGAGAAAAGAAAGATTTGCATTGTTTTATCCCCTCATTTTTCACCAAAGTAATTATGTACAAAGAAAGGTTTTCTTACTTTTTACATGGGGCTTTGCAGTCAGAAGGGAAATCTATATATTTTGGTTCTATAGTGTATTCCAAACCTTTTCATCTAGAACAGGAAGGAGTTTCCGGTTAATGCAAGTAGTGATTTTATTATTCTTTTTAACTCAGACTCTAAGACTTGGGCTCTATGAGTTACATTCTTAATAGAATAACTATTATAGGTTAGGACTTTTTTAAAATTGGAGCTATAATGGTATCATCTCTCCAAGTCCACAGAGATGAAGGTGCATCTTATTGCTTCCCTTATTTCCTTGCATCAGAACAGTTATACAGCGGATACATAACCTTTGTGTGAACAGCCTTTTAAATACAAATCAAATAATGGTAAATTCAGCTTGTGTAGTTTCATTACCTAGGTGTGATACACACCTGCTTTAAACTTACTCTGTGCTGTTTCTTTGCCCACTTGCAAATGGTTATGAATTGCTGAACTGATTGGAATTTTACAACTGAAGTAGATTGTAAATGTTTATTTTCAGATTTTCACCTTCAAGTAAAAGTTGTGTTTGTGCGATACGTAGGTAGATGTGCAATGTGTCAAACCTATAAATGCCAAACTAGAGAAAATGAATCAAGCTGCATTTGATTCTCTGGTAAAAAGCATTTCTATTTATGAGCTAAAGTTTTGTATTAGTCCTTGTACAATAACAACAAAGCAGGATGTGTTTAGTGCTGCAATAAAATTACTAATGGGTTTATTATAAGGAAACTTTAGTCTTACTTTTCATCTTCACAATAATGGAGGAAGGTATAAGCAGGCATCAGTGTGTGCAATGATGAAAAGCTTGCTTTTGGTTTTATAGAGCTGTGTAATCTTTTCTAGGATTTGTCTTTCTGAAGTAATATTATAGATCTAAATAGATTTGAGTGACTATTAACAACAGTTAACAAATAGTGACATCAGGTGTTCCATTTTGGAAGGAAAAAAAAAGCTAAAAGCTGTTATATATGTAGTAGCCTTGTAGATTAGTCAAAGGAAATGTTATTCCTATGTTTAGGAATGATTTGTAGGAAGGTATTATGAAAATAATGGAAAAATCAATTTGCAATAGTTGCTATTTTTGTGCCTATGGATTAATTTCTTGATCTCTCGTTAAAAAAATTACCAGTGTAATTTGACATGCTGATAGCTTTTGCTCTAAGAAAGCAATTTAATTAGATACTTTCAAAAGCAATTGAACAGTAGTTGAGATTGCATAGATCTTTTGTAGTTTAAAGGACTTCAAATATGAAATGAGATTGCAGCAAATTTTATGGTAGCTGTTGTAAACAGCATGTGCTTTGTATAATGTTCACCTACTAGAGACATGTTATTGCTTGAAAGTGTAATTTAATGATCTTTAAGCTATACAATTTTTTTCTGTCACATTGAAGAAAAAAAATTGTATTTTGGCAGTAGCTGTAGGTGCTTGCCCTGGAGTTACAGTTGTCATACATTCACTCTTGACTTACATTATCTGGGTTTCCAGGTACAAGCTGGAGTTAAGAAGTGTCATAAAAATCAGATGGTTCAATTTCTTGTTTCAACCTAAATGGATTTTATCCTAGTGAATCTCAGCAGTACTAGATATGTCTAGGTATAAGCTGTGTTTAACCCTATAACCATGTTTAGAAGACTACTGCAGTTACATT